TATATATATAGTGCATGTAATAATAATAATTATAAGCATTATATTTTTAATTTTAATATTTTAAAATTTATATTAATATATCATTGCCTTATGCTATAATATTCTAATTTGCTATTAATTATAGTACTATATATATTATATTGATAAGCGTACTTAAAAATATAGAAATAGAAAAAAAAAAAAAAGAGTACCTAACAAGAAGACGTCATTAATTTTCTTTGAATAATTAAAAAGGTAAATTTTTATTATTCAATTTTATATTATTATATTATATTATTAAAATATGGCAAAATTACTTTTAACAGATTATATTTAGTATATTATTGATATTTAAAATAATATATTATTATATTTTGTTACCAATATTATTCATCATATGTAAAAATTTAAAAATAATAAAAATAATGGTCAAGCATAAAAAATTTAACATTGTAAAAACGTTAATAAGTATTGTTTCCGAATCATTTATTTTATTATTAATATTCGAAATACTTACTTTTTTTTACCAATAAATAAATATGTAAATAATATAATTACTATATTAAATAAAAAATATTAAAATAATTATATAATTATTATATACTCAAATATTTATAATATTAATATTTTAAATGAAAATTTATCTCTAAATATTTTTAATTAGAGACCGGAAAATCATATTTCAATTAGAAACAAAATATTAGTTTCTAATGATCAGTAATTAGCCACTATAAAATCAGTCTCTAATATCATTTTAAGTAGAGACTGAAAAGTTAATTAGTTAATTATATTAAGATTATAAACTAGAAAATCAATCTCTAAAGGGTTTCTCAAAAACCTAAAAATCAGTTACTAATTATATTTTTTTGCATAGGCCAAAATATCTGTTTTTTGTTTTTTTTTTTTGTTCGTCCCTGAAGTATCCAACGCCGATAGCAGTGACTAATCTCCTCGCTACGTTGGAGGCACCTCAAAGGGTGGGATAGCTGGCCCCAAGATTTAACGCGGCTGCATACACAAGGCAGGATTCAAATCCCTGACTTTGCTTAAGCGTGGATGAACCCTAGCGCTGAACCACACGCTTGGGATTAGGCCAAAATATCTGTCTATATATTATAAAAAGTCACACGCAAATTATATTGCAATTAGAGACAAATTAGTCACTAATTAAATATTTGCAGAGGCCATATTATGTGTGCATGATTTTTATAGAGATTAGTTATTATTGTCGGTGGTAAATATTTAGTATTAATACTATGATTATTTATTTATTTATTTATTTATTATTTGGTTAACAATTAATATATATGTATCATTTTGATTATTTTGAAGACAATTTTGTGTTATAGTATATAGATTTTTTTATTCTTTTTTGAAATACTTAAAGAAATCAAGAAGAACAAAATTATAAAATATTAAGTGTTCTTTTCATACATTGTAGTGTATTTGAAATTTTTAAATAGATTAAGAAAAGAAACTAAGATGAATTATATTGTAAATCTATCAATTTAATTAGTTAATTTTTGACAATATATCAATTTAATTAATGTTAGAAAATTTATTTATTTTAAAAAAATGATTTTTTTAAAACTCATTGAATATATGATGATTCAAATTGAACCAATTCAAATAACATCGATTGGTTCAGTTTGGGTTAAGAATTTTTTTTATAAAACTTAAATTAATTAAATTTAGTTGATTTGGATTGAATTTTTTTATCGAAACTTGAATTAATTAATCTAATATGTCAACATCCCTAATTTTAATAAGAAATTAGCTAGTGTTATTGCAAACATGTGGTTCTCAATGACAAATTAAAATCTCGAGTTAGTAGGAATAATTTGTAGCAATTATTTAAATATAATAAACTAATAATGGGGACAATCTATATAAATATTATTTGTACAAAAAAAATATTATATGAGTGTAAAAATAAGACCAAGAGGTTCAGGAGCTTATTTTGGTGGAGCTGATGAAAAAATCTTCCGGACCAAGGAAATGCAAAATATTAAACTTTAATATAATTATTTATGATTTTACTAAATTAAGGGTGTGTAACTGCCCACCCTAGCTAATTTAGTTACAGGTTCGCCCCTACATGTAGTCATTAAAAGCATATGAGTCATTATTAATGTGTAATAGCGTCTAATGTTAAATGAACTGTGTTTGTTTAATTATACATGAACTTTCTATATGTTCTTATTGCATATGTGAGAAGTATTCTCACATATTCCATTTTTTTGTTTGGACTGAATGCTTATTTTAAATAAGGTTTAGGCAATTTTTGATAATCATGCATAGGTGAAGCTTAGGTTTCACACATTATTTGTTTAGATTTTTCTATGCTAAGATCATAAAACATGCTTTAAAAAAGTGCAAAAAGAGAATTTCACAAACAACCAAAAAATATATATGATATTAGAATTTTTAATTTTTTTGTTAATCACGAGACCCATTTTTCTCACATTTTCCTCTGAGTTTATGATATTTTCTTGTTCAAACATTGATTGAGTCTCATAATTTATATCTAAATAAATTTAATGAAACAAATTTCATATTTTGAATTAATACAAAATTAAAAGTTAAAAATCGTGTCTCAATTAAAAAAAAAGTGATTACTATTTTCTAAGGATAATATTAAATCAAATTTAAAAGTCTATAAAATAAATGTCTTAAAATATAAAATATCAAAACAGATATTTGACCAAAATATATTTTAGTGATGAAAAAGAGATATTACATTATTAATATTAAATTCCAGCCATACAAAGCCAAGGGTCATCCGCTACCTAGTACTAGCTTATATAAAAGTCATACCATACCTTTCTACGTTGTCTTATTGTCCACTTGCAAGCGTACGTCGACGTTGAATTGTTATTATATATAGATACAAAGTTACATTCCGAATATTAGATTCATACACCAATGGCAAATACAATCTTTACTCAAATGATTGCTTCCTTAGCTGTAGGAACATTCTCTAGATATCCGGCTTCAAATATTGTTAATCATTCCATTCATCACCTTCGATTCAACTCCAAGGTCAAGCGTAATCGCTTTTCAGTTCCAGAAAAGAACCTGAGCCTGAGATTTCAAAAAGATGCAACAAGAAAGATGTACTAAAATATTAGTTTTATTATTACAAATTATTTTTCTGCTTTTGCTTCATGAAGAGCTATTGTCTGAGTTGGTTCTTAAGATTGAACCCTTCATGAATGCAGGAATATGGCTGTCTACTCTAGCATAACACCAGGAGATCCTGTTGATCCTTCTCCTGGTCATTGGTAACTCGTCAATCTCTCATCTCTGATATGTGACATTATTCACTTGTATTTTCCTATTGTTTGGGTACAAGTTGTTGCAAGAGTTTCTGATAGATTTTAGTTCAATCTTACTTGGAAATATATATAGTCAAAAGTTGAAATAAGATGTTGTCGCTTGCAGGAAAATTTGGATCCTTGGCACAATATTCACGATACTTGCATCCTTTACGAGGGGAAAATGGGGACCTTTGCTACAATTGAAGGGTAAGAGATCATCCATGTTAACCACATCGACAAAAATGAATTATTTATTGGCATTAAATGTGACCTGAAATTTTGCCTTGTGTGATGAGCTTTCTCGGTTCTTGTTTGTAGAGAAAGTTGAAACAACAATAGACGAAGCAGAACGAGTGGTAGACGTTATAGAAGACGTGGCTGAGAAAGTGGATAAGGTGGCAGAAGAGGCTGTGAACCATCTTCCCAAGGGAAAACTTCGTGATGCTGCTGAATTTGTTGAAAAAGTAGCTGAGGATATAGATAACCATGCCCAACAAGCAGAAGAAGCATTAGAAAAGGTTTTAATCTCTATTTGGATGATATACAAAGTACAAACAAAAGTTTAATTAATATTTTAAAAAATCCCAAATTATTTATTAATTTTTTCTTAAATGTAATTTAAATGATTTAGCTAAATGTAATAAATATTTCAATTTTATCTCATTTACTTTTAGAGCACCCGTTAACGAAAATTCTTATATGAAATTGTAGATCATGACCTACTGGAAAAGAAAAATAAAATTGAAATAAAAACGTATATATCTGCTATTTTTTTTTTCTCTGAATTAAAATGTGGCGGGGTAGTTGTAAGTTTTTTATGATTTGACTCAGTCTCATAATCACAATTTCAGAAGCTCCCTATTAATATTGAATAACTTTGCTTTCACATGTATATATATTGAATTAGACTTTAATAAACGGAACTACTTTTAATCTTCCACACGCAAGTTTCAAAGTCAATTTTCGATCCAAAATTAATTGCAATATTCACATTTCGTCAAAAGGAATAATAATTTGCTAAGTACGTTGCTATTATTACTTCTTGCATAATTATATATAACTTTTAAGTTATCTTTCGAAGGCCAATTGCAAATAAGACATGACTATTTTTGATTAACTTGTAGGTGGAAAACATAGAAAAGGAGTTCGAGTCCTTCATTGAATCAACCACTCATCAAGAAAATAGCACCACGGCGACTACAACAGCAAAGGAACATAAATAGAGAAAAACACGGTTGCAGACCATGGCGTGTGGCGACTTTCATGTACACCGAAAAAATCAACACGACATTTCAACATGATCTATTAAACATAAGAATATATAGTAATAAGAACGAAATTGTATATTGTTTCGTGAAAGACCTAGCTTGTACAAAATCTCTAGCTGTCAAAGTGCCGACATGTATCTTTTATACATTTATTTATAATATAAAGACTGAATCATAAGTTATTAAGTTGTTGCAGAGATTATAAGTTCTACTAGTACAAAAGAGGTGTATTACGTCGGATATTTTTAGCTTTTTATGTCAGAAAACGTACCGACGTAAAAGTGGGAGACGTAAATTTTACGTCGGATCTTCAAACCGACGTAAATTTACTTCGGACATTAAGACATCCGACGTAAAAAAGTAAGAAAAAAAACATAAAAATGCCAGCAAAACGGCCCGTTCTGCAAGCAGAACAAGCCATTCAGCTTCGTATAACAACCCAAAAGAAAACGCCCACTACCTACACAAATAGAACAACCAAAAAATCAAATAAAACAGATAGCCAAAGTAGCAATGCGAAGTAGAAAAGTACTAACGAAACCTTGATTCATACCTAAGAAGCAGCAACAATGTGCAAATGAGTAACAAAGAGTTCATTCCTCTGCAAAAGACAAAAAACGATTCAGTAACAAAGGAGAGGGAGAGGGTTTAGAGAGAAAAAAATGAAAAGTGATGAAGAGTGAATGGGCGCGGTGTGCCTCGCGCTCTCTTATTCAAATTTGCGTCCTTTTTTACGTCGGATCTGGTAGGGTCCGACGTAAAAAAGTTCGCAAAAATTACAAAAATGCCACCGCGTTTTTTTTACGTCAGATTTTCGTATTTCTGACGTAAAAGAGGTGACGTAATATGCTAATTTTCCACTAGTGTCTTTTATATTAACATTTTTTTATATGACATATTTCTCTCATTTCATATATACTTTGTTATATATATTTTTTATTATTTTATAAAGATTAATACTTTTCAATTGAAATTATAAAAATAAATATTTTTTTTTATGTATTATTCAATTCTCATTAAAAATTATTTATATCATTTTCTTAATCATCTCTTTCTCTTCATCCAATTATCTCTCTGGTCAATAATAGATTTATCTTCCATTATATATTCATCATTTTTTTATACTTCTTTTTGCTATTTTTAGCCTTTAATAATTTCATTTGTTACAAGGTTAAGTCTAACCTTATATATTATTATTTAATTCAAGTAACTTATAAATAAAAATTTTACTTGTTGAATTCTAGGATCACTTATTTTAGTAAATTCTACCTATAATTATAATAATATTTATGTGTTTTGTATGTTTCTTGTTTAAATATAATTACGTAATGATACATTAAATTAACAACTTTTAACATTATAAAAATAATCAAGACAATATCTAGCCATAGGTCTAGCATGACATTTTTTATTATTAAGACATTAACATCCATCAATTCTAAAACATATCCAACATATTAAGTAACTCAAAATCAAATTCATGATTAATATGCTCAAAAGCAAAATATGTAAATTTTCCCAAAATTAATATTGCTTCAAATATTAAAACATAGGTTCAAATTCATGAGTTCATCATATCTAACAAAAAAAATAATAATGTCAAACCCTAAAGTGAAAATCTAAGTTTCTTATGTTTGGTAACTATTTTTTTTTTTTAAAAAAAGAGATTCCCATGAATGTAGTTTCCCATAAATTATTTTTATTCCACTTTCTCACAAAAACATTCTTAATCCAACTATTTCGAATTAAGAGAAAAGTTTAATGCATATGAAAATACCATAATACTCTTTCCTCTCTTCCCCTCTCTCTCTCTCTCCCATATATTTATTTATCTCTCTTTTTTGTATTTCATTATTTCTTAAACTTGTCAATTTTAATAATATTATTAAAGTCCGTTTTGTTTCTATAGTTTAATGATATTTGTTAAGAAAATTTTAATTAATTAATTTATTTGAAAGAAATGAAATATATAACTTTTATCCTTCTTAATTATTATGTAGCATTTTTGTTTATTTTTTTTATTAAATTATGTATTTTAATAATTTTAACTATAAATTTTCAATTTTTTAAAAATAATTTAATATCATATTTGTAATAAGATTTAAGTAAATAAATACATTTAATAAGCTTATTTTAATAAAGTATATTTTTATAAAAAATATTTATATTTCCATAAATATAATGGTGTAACCAAACATGAAAATTTTTAATTTCCAGAAATTCTATATAAATATTCCTAAGAACCTTTATGGACAACCAAACATATTTTAACTATTCCTAGAAATCATGATTCCCAAGATTTGTAAGAGAGAGAAAATGTTTTATTTTCTTTTAAAATTAAATTAAATTACTATAATATCCTTTATACAAATTAACCAAATAAAAAAAAAGAGTGATTTTCTTATCTTAAAATTTTGATGTAAGTTGCTAACATACTCCAACTAAAAAATAGATAAAAATATATTAACAATTTCCTATATATATACACACACACGCACATCATTGGCGTACTCACATGAAATTGAGTTGCGGATAACTACCTAGATATTAGAGTGACAAGTTCATACAAAAGTGGTACCGTGCTGATCTACGCTATCCATATAAAACGTCCAATCTAATTCAATAATACTCTTGTAAAACTCCAGCTATAAGCATCCTCGTTGGGAAGATGTTTGCGAATATTCGTTGTAAAACAACCTGTACTCAAAAGTCTACTTGCTTGGCCATCAAGACATTATTATCTCAAGCTTCAAAGGTCGATCATCGCCATATTCATCATTTTCGATTCAACTCCTCCAAAGTCAAATACCATTGCTTCTCACTTCCAGAACAAAACTTGGGTTTCAGGTTTCAAAAAGACGTCACAAGAAAGAAGTACGTATAGTTTTGTGTAGTTAACTTTATTGCATGCATGCGAATGCTTTTTCAGAGACATGATTTAGTGAGATTGTATTTGTACCCATAGTTTCAGGAACATGCCTATCTTTGCCAAGGTACCACCAGGAAACTCACCCCCTGTTGATTCTTCTCCTGGTCACTGGTAATTCATTACCCCTCTTTCATATGTGATTGCGAATTGCTGAATATAATACATATGACATGGAAGTTAATGGTTCGAAAGAATATCAAATTCATGAATGAATCATGATGGATGCTTAATTTTATTTTTCTCACCGTTTTTTTCTTCTTTTAACCACCATGTGAAAATCTGTTATTCTTTAAAATAGCACTCATCTTACATTTTTTTTCTTTTCAATTTGTACCCAAGGCAATTAATTTCATGCTATACACAGTTCTGTGTCTGGTTTTATAACACGCATGTTCCCCCTCCAGTGTTTTACTGAATTTGCAATTGAAGAGCTAAAAAAAGACACTTATTCTTTTCAGGAATTTTTGGACCATTGGAGCAATAATATTCACCATAGCTCTGTCCTTTACAAGGAGCAAATGGGGACCTTTGCTACAATTTAAAGGTAATAAAATAAAGACTAAACCATCAATTTAATTATTAAAGTATTATTTTAATTCGTAAGTAATTCTTAATTTAAAATAAAATATAAAAATTAAGTAGCCTTAAATTAAAAATCATATTAAATAATTCCTCAAATATTAAAAAAAACTTTTCAAATTAATCTTTAAATTAAACTTTATTAATATATATCAATTTAAGAACTAAAATAATGAATATTTTGTACTTCAAAAATCATTTAGAATGATTTTATTACTTAGAAACTCCTGAAGAGAATGAATAATATAGTTCATGATTAAACTGCTGGTTTATTCTGAATGAAAGAAAAACTCGTGTTAGGGAATGCGTTGATATTTGCGTCAATCAGTCCCCAAAGTTGCATTAATGTTTTTTCTCGTTTTGTACAGAGAAAATTGATACAACAATAGATGAAGCAGAAAGGGTTGCAGACATAGTAGAAGAAGTGTCTGAGGGGGTAGAAAAAATTGCAGAAGGGGCTGTGAAGCATCTTCCCAAAGGAAAACTTCATGATGTTGCTGAATTAGTTGAAAAAGTAGCTGCAGATGTAGATAAGCATGCCGAAATTGCCCAAGATATATTTGAAAAGGTTTTAATCTTTATCCCAATTAATTTTCCTCGTAGCTTGGATAAACAGGGATATGGATTATCTAATAAGTTTCTATAAATATGATTTGAATTAGTCTTAGTCATAATGTCAAAACTTTCCTATATGTTAATATTGAGCAAATTTCTTTACCAAAAGACAGCTTTAGATGCTAATTAATTGGATGGAATTAGAAACCACGTGCGTGTGTAATGTTCAAGTTTAACACGCAAGATGTCGCTAACTCATTTTTCAATCAAGATGCCTTGTTCTGGATTCCTTCAACCCAATGAAATATAAACTAACTACAATTGACTTCTTGTTAAAGCTGGAATTATTTTTTGTTTGAAAAAGATTATTAGAAATATACACTCACTTTTTTTTTTTTCGTCTCAATTTTACCCTAATTTCTTCTTATGTTTCTTTTCTCTTCCTTTTTTTTTTAAAATCACATGCATCTATCATTTTGTTCTGTACCATTTTTTTTCCTCCTTATCTCTCCCCTTTTCTGTACACAATTGGGTGGACATTTGTCACCACTCTTTGAAAAAATTATGATTTAATTATTAAAGATTGAGAAGCATTTTTATTTATTTTTAAATAAAATTGAGGATCTCAATTTCATGATTTCAATAAGATATATATGAATAGATAAAATTACTGTTACATTACCTCTTGCTATAATGAAATTGTCTCCTGAAGGCTAATTATATGGTAATTAGAAAATAAATAATGTGAAATTTTACTCTATGATCATTTGGATGAGAGATGACAAGTTTAGATAAAATTACAGGTAGAAGATGTGGAAAAGGAAGTGGATTCCTTCTTTGAATCAACCACTCGTCGAAAAAAAAGTATTGTGGTGACTAAAGATTCAAAAGATCAAAAATAGAGGAAATCAAGGCTACAAATGCATGGAACAATTTACCAAGTAATTATGTACGTACAAACTTGACGCTCGCATTGGGATAATTTATAGAAGAAAAAAGTATTTATGTATGTATGTATTATTTATTTGTTTATTTATGTCATGATGTGTTTTTATTGTAATTTAATCCTCTTTTTATCCTCCTTAATTCACCTTCTACATACAGAGAAAATTCTTCTCCTCAATTGTTTCTTGCTTTTGTTTTTATAAATCAAATTTAATGGAAAAATATATATGCTGATTGGCAATAATAAAAATGATAAATTAAAGAAACATTTTCTCAAAATTTATCACATTATTCAATTATAAAATCATATTTAGTTGTAATGATATTAACAATCTTTATTGTATTATTGATAACTTCAACACAATATATTTATTGTATTCTTTTAAAAGGAATTGAAATCTGAAAATTTAAATTTTGACTTATCTTATCCTGCTAATAATATGTTGGATTTCAAATTGACTTTATGTCAAAATTAGTAACCAAAAGCTTTCATATATTTAATTAATAAAATCATAAAATATTATGACTTTATTTAATTATTTATAGAAATATGTTTAATTAATATAGGCATGAAGTCAGGAAATCAAGTGTTAACTACAAAAAACTAGACTTTCATTTCAAATATATAGTTTCTCATAATTTTAAATATTTTTAAACATTTTATTTTTATTTATACTTTTTAACTTTTACCTAAATTTAAAAAGATGGGTGCTCTCTACCAAAAAAAAAAAAGATGAGTGCTACTTTTTTCACATATTCCTCATTTGATATTGTATAATATTAGTTAATATTTGTTTCTTTTACTGCATTAGTTAACATTTCTTTTTGAAGCATAGTTAACATTTCTTAGAAACTAAAACATTATAAGTTGATATTCATTAAATATGAAAACTCAATTTTCTTAATATAATTTTTAATAAATTTCAATCAATAAAAGAAAATATTTTCAAGAGAATAAGTGTGAAAAGAAGTTAAGTGACGAGACAAAATTTAAAGCCTAGCCCGCATTTTAAGCATTCATTACATTTAACTAAATTAATTAATTTTACTTTTTTTACACCTTACTTAGTTTTACCTAATCACGTTAATATTTATGTAACAGTTAAATCATTGTTATATTCTTAATTTGAGTTGGCGTATTTTGATATATAGACTATATATTTTCGTAAAAGAAAAAGAGACACTATGTGATTCTCTTGTTTTTTTGAAAATAAAAAAATGAAAAAGTGGATAGTTAATTGGTAGGTGTCAATAGTTTGTGGTATTAAATTTATAAAAAAAAAATTTACAAAATAATTACAAGAGTAGATCTATATACGAAATTGTGTATCTTAAAAAAATTATCATCTTTATAATAATTATAGATATAAGATATTTTATTTAATTATTAAAATAAGGTTTTTTTTAATGAATATCCACCTGAAGATCATTTATTTTTAAAATTATTTTAAATAATACCAAAAATTTTACATTTAACATTAAATAAAGAGGTCAATTAGTCTTTCAATTAAAATTACTCGTTAACAAAATTGATAGATATTTTACATTTTTAAAATGACAATATTTTTAAAATCGAACCGATTATTGAATCAGGTTAATTATTGGTTCAAGGTTCAATGTTCAATCGCAGTTAAACCGTAATCAAGTTGATATTCATAAAATAATCATTATTAGTATTATCAATATAAAAATAATATTAAATAAATATAATTTTATAATTTTATAATACTAAAAATTAAAATAAAATGTTATTTATAAATTCTTGAAATGTTGACTCTTGAAATGGATAGTTAAATATCCTCTAGGATCTTAACTGATATAGTATGGGAACAAGGTTGAGTCATACTGTCTATAAGTGACCACACAAGGGATAAGTCGAGCTATATTGATTATGAAACTACCAACTATTGATCCGTATAGGGGTCATATCAAGTCATATGTATACAAAATAACCAAACATAATAAGGTACAAGGTTGAGAGTTAAAATTCTTAATTAAGTATTGGAAATAGTGTAATATTTGGAGGGTAGTCAACAATTTAATCTCATAAGAGGTTTAATTATGCATGCTAAAGTTATAACTGACTCACACTCAAGTTGTTCAACCTTGACAAAACTACTATCCTAATTTAAGTGACGAAATCCGAGAAATTATTTTGTTATGAATTTTTTATCCAAATTAATTGTTGATCTAGATGTCATAGAAAGATCACATTGCTAGCTGATTTAGTAGGACTAAGTTACTTAGATTGCTTACCTATGTTATAAGAAATCTCTTAGTTAAAATATATGATGACACACACATACACACATACACACACACATATATGTGTGTGTGTGTGTGTATATGTATGTATAGATGTGGTGTTGTGCATATGATGTGTTGATTGTGTTGTGTTATTTATATGCATATGTTGTATTGTTGATGAATTGCATTATTATGATGTAATGTAAGTTGAAGTTGTTGTATGGTTAAGTTGTTTACCTTACAATGGTTGTTGAATATTAAGTTGATGTGTTGTTATTAGGGATGACAAATAAACTCGTACCCATAGATAATACCCGAACCTATCTTGACTTTGACGGGTTTGATCGAATATAGGTACGAGTAAAACTCAAAATATTAAAATGGGGACGAGAACGAGTATATACTTACCCATCTTGTCCCCATCCCCGATTTCATACCCATACTCGATTTAATTATTTTAAAAAAAAATTATCATTTATAAAGTTAAGACTTAAGAGTCTTGGGACTCTAGTGCCCCTGCCCCATACGATAATAAGCATTTGGGAATTTAGTGGCTTTAGTTAGGGTTAAAAGTGTTGAGTTGAGACTCAAGCTCCGTAGCTGCATGCACCACTCTAGTAAGGGTATCTCCAATTCAGCTCTACCCTATAAGAGGACCCCTCCTAATCTTTGTCTTCTTAGGATGCCAAGAAAGGTCTTACTCCATCTCAAATTGGTGTGATTCTTCAAGACTCTCATGGAATTGCTTAAGTGAAGAGTGTCGCTGGAAGCAAGATTCTCCGTATATTGAAGGCTTATGGTGTGTTTTTCCCTTTCTGTTTGGTTTATAATGTTACTTAACTTTTAAAATATCATGAGTGGAGTATTTTTCTGTTATTTGAGCCTTGCTCCTGAAATGCCTGAAGATTTGTATCATTTCATCAAGAAGGTCGTCTTTATTAGGAAGCACTTGGAGAGGAACAAGAATGAGGGGTACGGGTACGGATATACCCGATACTCGACGAGGACAGGGATCAGACCAAAATTACATACTCAACGAGTATGGGGACGAGGCCGAAGATGAGTTTGAACTATAAGAATTGGTATCATGAAACCCGTATACAACCTATCCTGTTGCCATGCCGAGTTGTTATTGTATCAAGGTTGAATACCATGAGGAGTTTTGTTGTGTGTTATATATATTTTGATGTTAGTAGTATAGTTAGAAAATTCTTCTATACTTGTTAGCTATTTTGAATTGCTAGTTTGCCTTTGCATATTTCCTTGTGATTAGACTACGATGATTATACTTGATATAAGAGCACGACATAGATAAACTAGAAGAGAAGTACCTTTGAGGCCATGTTATGATGTAGATATTCTTTTAAGTTATTCTTATATAGTTGGTTGGAAGATTTTTAACTCACAATAAGAATTTTCATATTTTTAGTCGAGGTTACTATATCTATACTAATATATAAAAGGGATACTCTTTTTGGTAACTACCCTGGTCTCCACTCTTTTTGGACCATTATACCTTTTTATTTTAAAAATTAGAAAAATTATTTTTTAATCAAATTTAAGAATTTGAAACTAATGAATCATTTTTACAATAAATACTTTTGATTTTCATTTTTACATGAATCATTTTATTCTTTATTTATTTTTTAATAACTATTTTTTTATGAGTAACTTCTCATTTTTAAAATTTTTTTTATATATAATGCAGGCACGGAGTGCCTTTTTCCTGCTAGTATATATAAAGATAGATATTCAAATCACAATTAATTATTTCATTAATTAAAATTAAAATTTATAAGTCACTAGGACCCATATTTCTATTTTGATTGAATTAGAATATTTGTTTTATCTTTTCAAATTTTGTTTTATATAATTTTATTTTTTTTCTATTAGATTTAATGGTCATTCTGACGGTAATAGTAATAATAATTTTTTACAAAAATAAAATTGAATATTTTTCTTTTAAAAAAAACCTATTTTACAATTTCAAAAATGTTATTTAAGCCATATTTATTTTATACAACTAAATTTTATAATAAATAATAAATATATAATTAAAACTGTATTATATAAATATTTTGAAATTATAAATTATATTTTAAATTTTATATTAAACAATTTATCTTATTAGAAAAAAAATACTTTTTAACTGTTAGTAATTAAAAACATTAATTTAAAAGATAAAAATAAAAATGATCAATTGAAAAATAATAGATGCCAAGAAAAATTCTTAAATTTTTTTTTATTTAAACGTTTAATCATAAAATTAAACTTTTTTTTACTAAATTTATATCTATTATAAAAAGAGATTCCAAATATGAAATTTCATAAAATAAATAATTAAATTAATCCATAAAATTGTATGTCATTTTCAATTTAATCTTTAATTTTAATAAAATATTAAAAAAAATTCTATTTATAAAATAGAAATATCTACATGACACAATGATACTATGTGGCATATACGTGATACAAATGTAAAATAACAAGTATCACATAAGTATACCACATTTAATTTTTAAAATTCTAATATTGTATCTTTTTAAACTTTGAAATTATAAATTAATGTTACTTTAATTTTTAAAATTTTAATTTAATACCATTTTAGTTCTTAAATGTTATTATAATTTTATTTGAATTCAGTTATTATGAATGAAATATTTTTATAATAAAATAAATAATTAAATTAATATGGCAAAAATGACTATTCAAAACCAGTAATAATAATAATTGTTACATAGAAGGAAAATATAACAGTAATGTCTGGTCGGTCCGAGTTCCCAACGGCTACGAAGATTTCAATTTAAATCTCTCAACGGCTATCAGTATTCCAATTAAAGGCTTTCTCCGACCGCAACGTCCCTTTCCACATTCCAATTCATAATCCATCCACGCATTAGGGCATTTCTCGCATTGCACCTTTGGGCTTCTTTCGACATCAATGGATCTTCCTCCAGAAATCGACGAATACATCAGGGAAACTATCGACCACAGCTT